TTTCATCGCCATCTCCATCTGCTGGATTGAAACAACTTTATTCGCAGTTATTTGCATTGACTTTAAATTAAAGTTGAGACACCCGTATCGCGTTCTTATGTTCATTATGTAATTGTTTTTATCATATATTTAATATTTTGTTGTCACTGTTTGATTAGTTGCTGGCTATCAGCAGTTTAAGTTCCAGTCACATGAACTTAGACTGTTTTAATTAAGTATCTTGTTTGTTCTCGCTTGTTAATTTATCTATTTTAATATTTAATTAACTTCAGTTTGATGTAATTAGATCGGATTCAATTTGATTGACGTTTAAAGTCTGTCACTACAGTTAAACTTTCTGCAAAAGAACACAGAATGTGATCAGGGTAGCAAGATCTAGTCAGTTTATAAGTTCACTCTCTCTGTGTAGATGTATTTGGGATGATTTTTGCTGTTAAACGCTACGGAACATCGTAAGTTTAAACGGAATTTCTCAGGAAAACTGCAATTTCTACCGCGACATTTCTTTCACAAGTTCGTTATCTGAATAACTGCGCTGACCAGAGTTTTTTCTAGGAGAAACGCTGTATCAATCATGAAACGATTGATAAACGAGACGTGATATCAGGGTCGCAGATGTTGCCAAGATATGATTGTAATTAGAATCACTGAGGAAGAAATGAGAGGAGTCACATTTACATACTGATTTCCATGGCACGCTATATATAATGCTTCATCTCTGTTCTCCTGACGGACGAAAATTTCTCATGGACTAGTCAGATAGATCTCGATGATTCATTATACATGACGACCAAAATCGATTACCAAGTAACATTTCTTTCTAATAATTTGACTATGTTGACAGAAATTCGCGGAATTAGGTTTACTGAAGCTTCGAAACCGCTTAGTCTTTACGACTTCCTTTCAGAAAGTAAATCTGTAACTAAGGTTTTAATTCCTGGAGGAAGTAGAGGTTGCTCTGAACGAAGTGCTGACTACAGAATCCATTATTTCAAGATGATTTCAATGCCCATTTTGAAGCAGACCATGAAGAGTGGAAAGGCATGATTGAAAAAAACGGCCCTAGCGACTTCAACAATAACCGAATGAAGTTGTTGTGACGTTTCGTGCAAACAAATGACCGTTATGAACACTGTCCTCGTGCATCAGCATACTTGGTAAAGGGAAGCTTGTGCACAGAAGTCGATGATCGATTTGATAAACGATTCGTCTGACTCAAAATGTTCTTTAACAGGTGTTCGCGTTAAGAGATACGGATCTGTCAAACGATTATTACCTTGTTGTTGACACCCTTTACTGTAAGCGATGGAGCACTTGGCTGCAGAAGTAATTAAAGAATCAAGTGGGAATCATTTACATTCACGGATGTCAGAGCAAAGCATGCAAGCAACATCGAAGGATGGTTTGAACAGATCCCAGTGATGATAGATGATGCGGAAAGTGAGTGGAAGTTCTTTAAGAGTGGTTTACTCATGGCTGACGCTGAATGTCGCAATTGGTCTGCCTCGTTGCTGCCAGGTTGGTCTGCCTCCTGGAGGTCAAAAGTGAACTTCCTGGTCGACACCTGAAGTTCAGGTGGTTGTGAGCTGAAAGAAGGTTGCATTCACGAAGTGTACTGAAGCAAATAGTCTTCAGTTCGAACGCGGTACGATTAAACTAACAGGGCTGCAGCGAAAGCGGATTGCTATGAAAACCTCGTTGCGGTAATGGAGTTGAGTTTCCAGATGGCAAACAAGGTAGGCTGTTCGCCACCTTAGAGATGGAAAGAAGTAAGAGTCCTGAAAGACAACTTCGGATGCCTTTTTAAGTAAGGAAAAGCACATACTTCGGCGATGGAGTAATTTTAGCAGCCACAGGAATGTTGGTCTGAAGAACAACGTGCAGCAGGTAACAATGCAGTAAACAAAGTCACAAAAGCTGGAGAAAGCTTGAAAAGTGGCAAGGTTGCTGAAATCGATGAAATCCGCCTTGGAATGTTTAATATTCTAGGCGAACAAGGCATGTTTGGCTTTCACATGTTTGTCAAATTTTAGCG